GGGAGGGAGTTGGGATTGTGTTTGAGTGAAGGGATTTCGTTGTCAAGTTTGGGATGAGTTAAAAGGGCCTAGAGAAAAAAAGACTCAAAGAAAAGACTACATCTCAGAAGGGCTGGCAAGTGGCTAAGGAACTGAGCGTGTTTTGTGTGACCCCTGTGAGAAATCTATCCCTAGCGGGGGCAGAAGATCTAGAATGCTAACCTCCTTCTATCCGTGCTTGAATGTGGCAGAGTCGGTGCAGCGCTGTGGGAGACTACAGGAGGTGGGCTCTGGGGCCCTTCCCAGAGCATGCTGGTGTAGCTTGAAATCAACCACGGTGGGGGGATTTCCACCATAAAAATGGCATCAACATCACCTCCCTGCCCATCCCAACCCAAGCTGGGGCTCCTGCTGTGCTATGAAAGCATGACACAAGCTGCCCTCAGAATAAGTCCCGGGCAAGACTGATGTGCATCTGGCCCTGAGGGGACAGGCCTGGGTTGTGAATGCACAGAGGGGACATGAGAACCCTGACTGCCAAGTTCATGATCACTTGGTGGTACCAGGCAGCCTGGCTGTCCTGCCCCAGATACAAAAGTGATTTGTCCTCTGGGGGATCCCACCCTCAGAAGACTCTGGTGTGCCATCCCTGCACACACTCTTTCTAAAGAAATGTCAGGTCTTAATGTTTTTATTATAATAACAAGTTAGACTTTGTAACAAAAAAAAAATTTTAAAGATTTATTTATTCATGCATACAAGAACCAGGGTACAGGCCAAATATGTGGGAGGGTGAGAGGATTCACCAGAGACAAATTGGGGAGCAGAACAGGCAGACTGACTGAAATACACTGCTGAGGGGAGCAGCAGGCGTGACAGGAGAAGTCTGTAGCACCATATGGGCATCTTCCTGGCCAGCTGGGATTGAATCCGTGGTGAAGAGGCTGCAGACAGCTTCATAGCTGCGCTCAACCACCTGCGCCACCAAGGACTTTGTAACAAATTTTAATGCAAGATACATATAAAATAAAAGGATAGCTCCCAGCCTCTTACCTGCCTCTCCCCCCCCCCATTAATCATTTCATATGCTCTGTCCATAGCTTTCTGTGTATTCATAGGACAAGCTTATATGCTGTGATATGAGATATACAGCCAGACATGTAGGGCAGTTGTTTATTTTTATACAACTGGGATCATACTATATAAAATGTTCGGTGCTGTTCTTATATTTTACTTAAATTATTTTTTCTTTCTACTCCATTACTTCACTCCTTTTGAAACAACAAGCTATCCCAGCATAGGAGAGGGTCCTGATTAACGTGAAGTCTCTTGTTGATGGACATGAGGTTACAACAACACTCTTCACTGAGCACCTTTGCACAGGTGTATGCATGAGCACATGTACATTCATTCTTATAGAACCTGGACTCTACACATAATGTGTTTTTTTTTTAAGATTTATTTATTTATGCATACTGGGGTATAGGCCAGAGGTGTGGGTGGGGGTGAGAGGATTCACCAGAGACAGAGTGGGGAGCAGAACAGGCAGACTAACTGAAATACACTGCTGAGGAGAGCAGCGGGTGAGACAGGAGAGGTCTGCTGCGCCATGTGGGTAGCTACTTGGCTGGGGATCAAACTTGTGCTGCAGTGGCTGTGGATAGTCTCATGGGTTGTCTTAACCCTTGTGCCACCAGGGAGGCCCCCAAATAACGTGTTTGATATTGTCAATTTCCCACCAAAAAAAAACTGTGCCAAATCAAACAATTCACAACCAATCCACGAATGTTTTCCTGAACACTCAACATTAAATATTATCATCAATCTTTAATTGTTACCACTCTGATGGTGAAAGGTATTTTTTAATTTTGTATGCCCTTAATAATAAATAGGGTTGAGTGTTCTTTCAAAACTTACTTTTAATCACTTATAAAACTTCTGCTGATTACAGATTCGTCATCTCCACCTACTTTGATGTTGTATGTCTTATTCTCTGTGGAGCTCCAGTGCCTGTTGCTCCCCTGCTTCCTACCCCCTTCCCCAGCCCATGCCCTGCTTTCCCTTCTCACTCACCCCATGCTGCTGCATGTGTCAACCTTATACCTTCTGTTGCTGAGCCCCTCTGACGGGGCAGATGTCAGGGGGCGAGGTCCTCATTCCACTCTGCAAAATGCAGTGGGACCCTGCAGGTAGGAGTGTAGTCTCTGGAGTTAGGCTTAGATTCAAATCCCAGCTCCAAATCTAGGCCCCACCACTTACCAGGCCATGTCTTCAGAAAGAAACTATTATATTTGATGTCTTTAAACATCTGTTTCTTTGGTGGCAAAATGGAGATTATAATATTGTCAATCCCACGGGCTATTTTTGGATGCTAATAATAGTCATAACGTAGCTAACATTTCTTGAGTCCTTAATTTGTGCCAGTAAATGTTTTATAATCATGTGTTATATGTACTAAGTGCATTATAATGATGTTTTCATTCGTCTAGCCTCACAATGTATACATAGTGTTGATCACGTGTTTACAAAGCCCTCAGCACAGTGCAAGGCAGATGTTAACTCCTCATGTGAGCTGAGGCCACTCACGCATGTCACACTTTTCCCTTGGCCTCAGCGTGACCAGCCCTGACCCCCGTGGCCAGTCCTCACACAACAGCCCCAGCTGGGCATCCCCTCTCCCCTCCACTGTGCCTCTTGCATGCTGGCGCCTTTCCCTTGAATCCCTTACAACTCCACTAGGGCCTCATGGACTCACCAGCCCCAGGCCCAATGCCCTAGATTCTGTGTACACAGGTGCTCTGGGTTCAAACCCAGGAGCTAGAGGCAACTCTGGACTTCAATTCAAACATGGCTTTGTCTACTTAGCGCCTGGGTGTGGCCTCGGGTCTCTGAACCTCAGTTGTACTCATCTCGTGAGGCTGCTGGAGGTTCCCTGAGCTCTCCCCAGAACACAGTGCAGTGCCCAGCAGATGCTCAGCCAAAGCTGGTTCCTTTGCTGCTTCTCCCACCTCCCTTCTGCCTGACTCCCTTTTTAAGGCCCTGTGTCAACTTTTGAAGCTAAGTTAGTGTGATGTAAGAAAACCTTCTGGCAAGAGCTCACTGTGCCTCTCCTTCCAGAGAGGTCACTGGTGCTTAGAGGTCCCAGTGAGTCACTTGTCCTTGGCTGGTTTCCCTGGTGGCCAGCGACACCCATCGCAGAATGTCAATTATGACAATACTGTGAATGCCCTTCTTGTGCATGTCTCCACACGAAATGTCTGCTGAGTGGGTGGGTGAGTGGGTGGGTGGGTGACAGACTCCTTCATCTAATAGGGACCATCCACCTTAATCTTGCTTCCTCCCCAGGTTTTCTTCCCTCCACAACCTTCACTTCCCACTTCCCTGAAGCTAACCATCCACCTTCACTCACCTGTTGCCAGGGTTTTGATGATTTCATTCTCTCCCTCTGAAATATCACCACCCCCTCCCCCAAGCACAGGTCATATTTTGTTAATGCCCACTCTGACTGCCAACTTCCCCCAGGCCCCTAATTTCCCTCGGCACTTTCTCTGTTCTGTTGGGGTGGTTTACTCTTTCCCTCTGCTGGAAATGCTCAGTCCCTGTGCTGTCTCCCCTGGGGACTCCTGTGGGTAGGTTCCTAGTTGCTCAATCTCTGTGCTCCTCCCAGTGACTAGCGCAGGGATTCGCATGCAGACATGGAAGCATCTGTGGAATGAATGAATCCATATTGAGGAGATCTGGTGTGCACCGTGCCAACACAGCCCTCCTGAATTACAGCAGAAGGTCAAGTACCACCAACTCTGGCTACCAGATCTGAGCAGAACATCCTTTGGGCTAAGCCTGACTCATGGAGAGGAAGCTAACAATCCTAGGCCTCCAGGCAGTTTTCTGTTTTAATTTCGTATCACCCATGCACACTGACACCGGCCCTCATGGTCTGTGGAGTTACAGCTGCAGTAGATAAAGCATTTTTCAACCAGAAGAGACCTTGAGTCTTTGGGGCCCAATTAATTCATTCATTGCAAAGTCAAGACTTGGAGGAGGGAAGTAACTGGCCCCTGGTCATACAGCAAAGTGAGAACTAGACCCAAGGCCTCAGGAAATCCAATTTAGAACTTTTTTAAGTTCTGGGGGAAACTCAAGCTGGTCCCTTTGGACACCCTGGTCAAGCAGAGTCAGATCAAGGTTTAGTGCAATCAAGGACAGAAGAGCCAGGAGCTGGGAATAATGATTTGTGTGTGTGCGTGTAAAAGCAAACACAAGAAATCAGGCCAGCACAGCACCCTGTGCTTTTACTTCGCCTTTAAAAAAAATAAACAAAGATTGAAATTGAAATTGAAAAAATATATTGAAATTGAAAATATTGAAATTGAAAAACGTATCACACACACACACACCTATTTGTATTTTTCTTTGATAGAAATAATATATGTCATAAAAAATAGAACATAAAAAAAACACAGAAAAATAAATTAAAATCAGGTAATTTCCTCTCACCAAGAATTAAGCACTTAAGTTGTTGATTTATTTCTTTCTAGACCTCTTTCTGTATGAGAAGGAGCTCATTTCCACATTTGGGTGGTCAGCATGGACAGCTTAGAGTCTTAGTTTTCATTAGACCCTATGACTTGAGCATCCCCTCTTTGTTCTGATATGCTCAAAAATTCCATTTTAATGACTGTTTAGTAGTTTGCTGTATACCATTACTTATTTAAATAAACACTTCTTTGTTGTTGGTTATTTGCAAATAATACTGTGAAGGACATTCTTTGCCCACATTTCAGATTATTCTCTTAGGATGAATTCCTGGAAGTAGAAGGCACGAACATTTTTCTTATTCTCAATACTTGCTGTCAAGCAGCTTTCAAGAAACATGTAGCAACTACACCCCCACCAGCTGCATTAGAGAAGCGCCTTTTGTTTCTGCACTTGCAGCATCACCTCGGGCTGGGGGTGCGGGGAGTGCTTTTCCTCCCAAAGCTTCTCAGACACTCCTACAATAGCCCCTTGTCCTGCCCTGTATCTTCCTGCACTGCCCGCATGTCTGGCTCCAGACTTGACTGTCTGCCAGGCTCCTGTCCAGGGCCATCAGCCCTCATGGCCTTGCAGGCTGCCTCCAGGAGCAGGGTGGGCAGAATGCTATGTCTGTCCTGTGAGCTCACCCCCTTCCAGCCTTGGGGAGGCCCCAGAGGAAATGAGGAAGATGGTGTGTAAGGATTGCTGAGTCAGCCACCTCTTTCAAGAGAGAACCCCAGTTCTGGGCAATGATGTGAGCTTGGAGAGGTGAGGCAGAAGCCTGCTTTAGTGACCACGACCACGGGGGGCTCTGGCCAGGATGTGGCTGACTTTCGTTTCCCTGCAGGCTCTGGAGTCACTTTATGAATCCCCGGAAGAAGGTGGACTTGAAGCTCATCATCATTGGCGCCCTGGGGTAAGGCGGTGAGCTTGAGGATGGGGGCTGGGGGGCAGCTTCTTCCCCCAGACAGAGAGGCCTACCAGAGGTACACTGGCCTCCGTGGGGTCTTTCAGATTCATGGTGGCCCCAAGAAGGGCATTCCACCCCAAGGAGGGGGGCTCAGTAGGGAGAAAGAGGCTGAAGTCAGGCCACCTGACCCTGGTGGGCAGCAGTGATGGCTGCAGCTGGGAGTGACCACTCCAGCCACACAGCAATGCCCAGCTCCTGCCTGGGCACTCAGCTCTCTCCAAGGCCTTAGGTTCCCTTTGGTCCCTGCTTCTCAAAGTCATTCCTAGTCCCTTGCTACTCAAAGTGTGGTCTTTGGATCACAAATGTTAGAAATTCAGAATCTCAGGAAGAGAAAATAGCGAGAGGAGCACAGCGTTTGTACGCATGTGTGCTAACATGTGTCTGGGGCTGCTTCCTCAGTGTAGGAAAGACCTCCCTCCTCCACCAATATGTGCACAAGACATTTTATGAGGACTACCAGACCACGCTGGGGGCCAGCATCCTCTCCAAGATTATCATTCTGGATAACACGACTTTGAAGTTACAGGTGAGCAGCCCTCCCTTCCCCTCTTCATCACACACACACACATACACACACACACACACACACACACACACACCTGAAATAGGTGAAAGGGCACCCATTTAAGCCTAGCTTTAAGCCCTGGATAGCTACTTACACAGTAGTGTGTACCAGGAGCTAGAATAGTCTAGAACAGATGTCCACAAATGTCCATACATGGGCCAAAAAGTCCACCACCTGCTCTTAGAAATACACATTTGTTGGACACACCACAACCATTTGTTGACATATAGTCTGTGCCTACTTTCATTCAACAGAGTTGAGTCATTGCAAAAGACAATATGGCCTGAAAAGGCTAAAATATTCATTACCTGACCCTTCACAGAAAAACAATTGCTGATCCTTGATCTGGAAGGAAGAACACTAATCTAAGAGTTTGGAGACCCCACTCCTACCCTGGCATTCCCTGTAAAACTTGGAGGATGATTCTGGCAAGTCTCTCCCAGGGTCCAAATTTCCAGATCAGTTCAGACAAGAATAAAAATGCCTGCCCTGGTGGCCCGGGGAAAGCAAGAGCACAGACAGGAGGTGCTCGTGAAATGCTATTGCAGGAGTGTCGTGGTGTTCATGGGGGGATCGGGGAGCCACGTGAAAGGAGGGCAAGCACCTGCCAGGGCTGTCTGCACCCTCCCTGGAGAAGGAGGCTCTGATGTGATGAACCCCGCCGGGCCTCCCTCCCGCCACTCCTCATGGCCTATGGGCTGCTCTTCCCCTCCAGATCTGGGACACAGGTGGACAAGAGCGGTTCCGTTCCATGGTGTCCACATTCTACAAAGGCTCCGATGGCTGCATCCTGGCATTTGATGTCACTGACTCCGAATCCTTTGAAGCCCTGGATACCTGGCGGGGTGACGTTCTGGCCAAAACCATTCCCATGGAAAAGTCCTACCCCATGGTGGTGCTGGGGAACAAGATTGATCTAGGAGACCGGCAGGTACCATTCATTCATTCATGCATTCATTCTATAAGCACCTACTATGTGCCAGGCACTGTGTTAGGGCCCATGCATGTAGAGCTGAATCAGAAAGTCTTTACCTTAAGAATTTCAGAGTGTGAGGGTTCAGCAAGCAAGGGGTACTTGACAGGATGAGAAGTGCAGCTGATGCCTGGAAAGAGTAGGGGCACCCAATTCAACCCCTGGGGATGAGCTAAGAGAGAAAAAGAATAAAGATTTGAAAGAAGCAGGGAAGTTCTAGGAAAGCTCTACCCAATTTCTGGGATCTGTGGTGACAAGGGTGTGGAACTGCACCCCACACACACAGTGGAGAGGCTGATGGGGGTCTCGGTGACTCCAGGTAAACCGGGGTCCAGTCAAGTCAGGGAGGTGAGAGAGGATCCCGGACAATGGAAGCCAGGGTGGGGGGTAGGCTCTTCATGAGGAGTGCACAAGGAGAGGGTTTGGGGGGAGGTAATGGAGAAGGAAACAGAAGATGGGAGAAGTGGGAGGAGGAGAAGTGAGGACAGGGAAGAGGAGAGGAGGAGGTGGGTGTGGGAGGAAGGAAGGGGGCTTGAGGCAGAGACCAGGCTCAGAAAGCAGAGAGGTGAGGCTTGGAAGTCTCTGCCCTCAGACGTCCTCACTTTGGCACAGAAGGAGCAGAGGGTCGTGCCAGTGCCTGTGGGTGGAGAAATGGAGAGGCTCCCTGGAGCACACGCTGGGCTTGGCGAGGGTCCGGATGGAGGCACCTGCTCACTGTGGGGCTCGGTGACTAAGAGTCAGCTGAAGGCCAGCTGAATTAGTGCTCTCCTGGGCCAAGTTCCTGCTCCCGGTGTGCCTTTGGGCTGGCTCCAGCCCTTCATCTATGCAGTAGCGACCAGACAGGTTTCAGGAGGCGCTTGGAGGATTAAAGGAAACAAAGCCTGCTGAGCACCTGGCCCACGCAAATCTCGTGACCCCCAAGGTATGGGCTGAGGAGATCCAGGAGCTTCTCCCCCTTACTAAAAAAGGAAACTAAATATTTAAAACGACATTGCTAGATTTGGGGTGAGGAACAAATCCTGGGAAGGGTGGGGGTGATGTTTGCACAAGGAAATCTGCTGAACACCACAAAACTGTACACTTAAAAATAGTTAAAATGGTAAATTTTATGTTCATGTATGTTTATCACAGTAACAAAATAGAAGTCATCAGGAGGATTTTAGAGAAATTGCTGACTTCGGGCTTTTTTAATCCCTACTCCTACAGAAGGTAGTAGTGATCACAAAATTCATTTGTTAGAAACGGCAGCTCGCCTAGAGGGGTGAGCTCTCTGAGAAGGGGGAGCTTTGCCCTGTGCCCCATCAGGCGGTTTCTGACTTGCTGTTGATTCATAATGTTGAGATTCTGAAAATATCCCTTGCTGTTTTGGGTAGCGGTTTGAGATGCATTTGACACACTAATTCTAACACATGCAATTGATCATTTTAAATGTAGATGAAGTGGAAAAGCACATCATGAATAAAACTGAGCAAACTGAACTCATTTTGTTAAACATTTGGTTTCTCATGAACAAGCAAAATTGTAACAGGAAGTAAAATGTTAATAGTCCATCGTCAGCCAAAAGCAACGTTAATGGAAGGAAGATTTCCAAAATGTCCATGCCTGTTTCCCCAAGAACCACTCCCTGAGTTTATTTCCACAGGCAGAGTCTAAGTTTTAAATAACTGCTATTTTTAAATTAAAGACAAGGCCATTTTTTAAATCATGAAATTATAGCTAGAATAGGAGGCAAAAGAGGCAGACCATGCCTGGCTTCCCTCCCGGCTGGCTTTGTGAGGGGGAGCGGGAAACGCCAGCGGGATGAAAACAAGGGCTTAATTTTTAACGTATCTCAACAGATATTTAATCATTCCCTGCGCAGTAGTCCCCGGTTATCCATGGTTTAGTTTCCTGTGGGTTTAGTTACCCACAGATCAACCACAGTCTGAAAATATTATGCACCAAGATATTTTGAGAGAGACCACGTGTGCATTATTTGTGTTACAGTGTATCATTACGATGGCTCTGTCCCCACTAGCTGGTATTAATCACTTCCTTGCCTAACTTACAAATCAAATGCTATCCTAGGTGTGTATGTATGGGGTCCAGTACTTTGCTCGGCTTCAGGTACCCACAAGGGTCATGAAACATGTCCCCCGGACTAGAGGGCAGTGCTGTAAACCAGACAGAGGGAGAGAGTAGGGAAACGAGATAAAACCTCTGTCACAATGGGGCCCCCAAGCAGGTGGGTAACTGCCCAGCGGAGAACAGGGCTGGCGGGATCAGCAGGCTGCGGACTTGTCTTCTGAGCTCTGATGCTGGGGGGAGGGCTTGGGACCCAACCAAGGCTCTGCTTTTCATGCCTTGAAACATTAAGTCTCTCCCCTGCTTCTTGGAGGAGCAGAGGCACTTGATTTTACCTCACTTTAATTTTCATTGCAACTCCTGAGTACCCTGATGTGCCCAATAAAATGCTCTGCCCCCATGGGGCAATGTCTGGGGAGGGGGCAGGATGTCAAGAAGGAAAGAGCAAGAAGTGTGCAATCTTCCACTCAAAGCCCTTTCCCAAACTGTCAGGGGTGTTAACTTCTAGTGATATTTACTTGCATGTTACTGGGAAGAATGGTAATGGTCAGGGTATTGGTCAGCTGGGCTGTCCTTGTGCTCCCTCCATGTGGCTCAGGATCTTCTCTGAGCTGTGAGGGGTCGGGTCCTTACTGGGCTTTGCTCTACAGAAGGCCCCTTGGATATCAGTGGCCAAGACCAGCGCCGGGTCTATTCACGCTCAGTAGCTCTTGGGAGACTGACCAGTCAGAGCCTGGCCTGGGAATAGAGCTGTCATTGGGGCCTCCCCAAGGGCAGCTGCTTCACTGTCCCCAGCTCCACCCTCTAGTCTAGGAAGCACCTCGGGCTCCAGAGCGATGCTGGCCAGTCAGAGAGCAGGGAGGGGGTCTGAGTGCGTGGGCCCTGAGGCCTCTCCTGTGACCAGGGAAGCAAGGACCAAAGAGATGCAGGACAGGGTGGTTCCTCCAATCCCAATAAAATAACATTTCCAGAACTGCAGGAGTGAGGGCGACAGCTGGACAGGGACAGTGTCCATCTCCCCCTGGTGGGACTGTGTTTAGGGAGAGGGGCAAAAATGGGCCTTTCTCTGTGAAAACAAAACTAAAATGAAATACTGATTATGACGTATCAGGCACAGTAAATGTTCAACATATTGGTTATTTCATTCTTCCCCAAATAATGAGGCATTAAACTCAGAGGTGTCGGTTGTCTTTGGAAGTAAACCGAGGGCTGCCAGAGCATTTTCCAGTGCAACCCCTGCCTTTGGTGGTGCTCTGCTCATTCAAACTGTGCAGTGGCTGTGAGCTGCAGCGGCCCTGACTCCAGGGGCCTTGAGTCTTGCGAGAGAAAGGGAAGAAGCCCCGTTTGAAACTTGCCCTGCAGGGCAGGTGGGCTGTGTGGGGGCCCTGGGCTATGCGGCACCCAAGCTCTGCCTTTCTCAGCTGTGTGTTCTGAGGCAGGTTGCTGAACCTTTCTGAACCTCAGTGTTCTTATCTGTAAAGTGGAGTCAATAAGATCCATCTCATGAGTTAATCCATGTAAGGTGTCTACACAGTATTAGGAGTTTATCAAGTATTCCTCGGACACCGCTGTGCCTGCCAGGTCCCCCTCCCTTTGAAAGGAGGAGCAGAGCCAATGGCAGGAAGAAATGCCCCGTGTTGGCCTCAGGAGGCAGCACTGAGCAGCGGGCGCTGATTCTGCCAAGCCTGTGTTCAAGTCCAGCGCAGCCCCACAGACACAGCACAATTTTTAATTCTCCACACCTATGTTTCCCCATCTGTAAAATGGGACTAACAATAGCCACCCAGCGTATCCCTGTTAAGATATAACATGTGTAACAACACCGACATACAGAAGGTTCTGAGAAGGGGAACTGGTGCTGGGGATGGGGGTTATCATGTGGTAATGGTGGTGGGGATGGTGGAGATGGGGGAATAGGAGAATGGGGGTGGCATGATGGGGGTGGAGGAAGGGTGGGGAGGTGATGTGGGCACGATGGTGGGGTGTGACAACAGCGGGGAGCAGTGGGGGGTGATGATCCAGGAACAGGGATCATTTATTTCCCTCATGCAGGTATCCCAAGAGGTAGCCCAAGGCTGGTGTAAAGAGAAAGATATCCCCTACTTTGAAGTCAGCGCCAAGAATGACATCAACGTGGTCCGAGCCTTCGAGAATCTGGCCAGCCAGGCCCTGTCAAGGGTGAGTGACTGTGATGTGGCACCAGGGCTGCCCCTGAGCTGGGGGAGCTTGGGAATTTCCCAGAAAAGAACAGACTGGGCACAAACGGGCGGGGGCGGGGAGGTGAGTGGGATGGGGTTGCTCATTGTCATAATTAATCAGTTGCTAAGTAGGTGCCACCGAAATCAAGCTCAGGGCGACACAGCGACCTCACAGAAGGTGGTCGTGGGCCCTCCGCGGATTGCCATTTGTGGAGTTTCTGAAAAACACAGCCCCACACCTCACCCCTGAGGTTCCCACTTAGGAAGGGTGTGAGACGGAGAAGCTGGTGCATCCTCATGTGTGAGAGGGAAGCCTCACCTGCAGAGAGGCTCCCTCCTGCAGAGGAAAGGGAACCACAGTGGGACAGGACCCCCTGCTTTGGCCTCTCAGCGGGCCTGTGGGACCTGCGGGGCCCTCGTGCTGGTGAGAGGCTGCAGGTGGGTGTTGTGAGCTGAGGAAGAACTTGGGCACCAGAGGGAGGAAGGCCCAGAGGAAGGTGTCCTGTCCACACTGTGCTGGGCGGAGGGAGGAGAGAGAAAGAGTGGGGAGGGCACCCCTAAACTGCAATGGGGTTTTAATGCCATTCTGATGTGGAGTTTGGAAACTCAGAAGAGGGTCCCTGGGAAATTAGCAGGGGTGGTGTCAGCTTGTCACCCAGCAGCCACACTCAATCCAGGGGAGCCTCTTGGAGGAGGGGAGAAGGTAGTGGTGCAGTCATTTTACATTGCGGAAATGAGCAAATGAGGGTGGGAGATCAGAGGCTCAACCTCTACGGAGCTGCCCATGTCACCGTGGGTGACAGGCCCGCACAGCACCCTGGAGAGAACCCCCAGAGCTGTGCCTCAGTTTGTGCCAGGCCTCTCCTGCACCCCACCCCCGAGCCCCAGTCTCAGGTTTGCTGCTTCCCCTCCAGCCCTCACTGCCTTTTGGGAAGGAGAAGCCAGGGTGTCCCTCTTAGTGCAAGGTCAAGACACGTGGCTCTTTCCCTTGGGGATGCGGCTTCTGATGCAGGCCCTCCCTCAAGGCTGCAGGTGCCGGGATGCATGTGCTGGTGGGTGACCCCCACCTGGCACGCATGACTGTCGCCAAGGCCACCACAGGGAGGCTTCCACAGCCCACAGCAGACTCTGCACCTGATCAGCCTCTGTCCCCCTGAGAGGGCTGTCCTTTGCTCCTGAAGTTGCGTCCTTCCTGCTTCGTCACCTTTAGAGTGGGGGCCAGTAGGTAGCAGCTTGTCTGAGTTCTGTTCTAAGATCACTGCTTGGCAAATAGTGGGTTGGCAGCCCCATGGCATGCTGGGGGGGCATTTGCTGCTAGGGAGTCTGGAGGGCATAGGAATGGTATCTGCACACTGGCAAGGTGTGAAAGCTGCCCCGGAGATTTCTTGTGACCTCTCTGTGCCTCAGTTTCCTCATCTGCACAATGGAAATAATTGTCCCAGAAGCATATCTTGAGTTGTCAGGCTAGGGCTGGTGATGTGGGCCTCGAAGGCCCCAAGTCCAGCCAGTGGGGTGGGGTGTTCACAGTAGCCATCATGAAGCGGGGTAGGCACTGAAGGAGGTGAGGTGGACAACACAGGAGGCACCGACTCCCACAGTCACCCTCCAGGGAGATGTCGCTTTGTCACTTTACTGTCACTCTGCAGTTAGGTAAACCCAGTGCCAAGAGGACCAGGGCCTGGAGGAAAGAATTACCTGAGGAGCCTAATTTGGTCTAGCCAGTTCCATGCAAGTTTTGCAGAAAACCTAGGGAGCAGGGTGATGCCAGTGTGAAGTGAAAGCTGCCATCAACCAGAAGTGCCCAGGCTGACAGGGCCTGTGTGGGTGGGTGGGATATTATTAGGCGAGGACAGTTGGTGTAAAGACCCCCAACCTTGCCAGTGCCCTCAGCAAGGATGCTGCTCACATCCCTGATGTGGGAGGTTTCGGGGTGCCCTGCAGCTGCTCGGACACATGACCCTCACTCCCTGAGGGCTGGCACAGCCAACAGTGGCACAGGACTCGTTCATAGGGAGCTCTGGGGTCCCGGCTGGGCCTCGCATGGACCTGAGGGTACAGCACACTCAGAGGTGAAGAAGCAGCAGGCACAGATGCCTAGGTCTGAAAGAGTCATTTCGGATGAGGTCTCTGGGCTTTTGTGGTGAGAGAGGGCCAAGGAAGTGCCAAAATAAGAGAATCCTTCTAAAGCCTGCCTCTCTGGGACATGGGTCAGCCCGTGTAAGTGGGACTAATAGTGATGCCGCTCTTCCTTGCCCCTCCCTGAGAGGTTCAAAAATGTTGGGGTTTTTTAACTAGAAGTGACTTGGTGGAGTGAGGGGCCCCTGCTCAGGGCAGAACTGGAGGACTGGGTGAGCCCCTGGGCCCGCACCCCAGGCCTGGACAGTGCAGGGATGAGGTGACAAGCTCTGAGCATCAGGTTGGACTCCCACTCAGTCTGGGAGGCAGTGAGCCTGGGGCCATGGGCCTTCACCTGCATCTTGGGGCCACCATCTGAGAGTGTGGCAGTGTCATGACCATTAGGGTTTTGAGAACATTCCCAGTCAGGGCCACCAGCTGTGCGCTCTGTGACTGGAGAGCCTGGTAGAATAAAGAGATGTGACCCCTTTAGAAAGGGACCCTCCAGCCTGTAGAACCATTTCCTGAGGCAGGACTCCGTCCCCACGCACCCTCGCCTCAGAACCAAGAGGGCTGGGGTCCAGGCAAGAAGCGGGAGAGGCCGGTCAGACTGGTACTGGCCTTTCTCTGGACAGAGGAGCCAACAGGCCTGGCAGTGTCGCGGAGTGTGCTTTAGGGAGGCCCTGGTAGTGGGAGGACAGAGGCGTGACTGACTTGGCTTCTCTAGGTGCCCAGGTGGGAGAGAGGGCACAGGGAGGTGGGCTGTGGAGGTGTCTTCAGGGAGAGGGCTCCAGCAGAAAGGAGGCATGAGCTGCCATCACCTCTGCTCAGGCTGGCGTGACCTCACTTGTCTCCTCTGGAGGATCTAAGGTTTGGGCCCTCATTGGGGGGCAGGAGATCTGAGTCCTAACCCAGGCCCCCAGCTGCTGGGGCTCCTGGAAGAGGCTGGAGCAGGAGATGAGGGAGGAGGTGAGGGAGGACTGGTGGTCTCCCCCTCTGGGCCTAGTCTCCCAACAGCACAATGGCGAGGACGGACACCATGAAGAAGCAGGAGACGCTCTTTGCCTCCCAGAATGTGAATGCCGCCTTCTCTTTTCCTTCCCCAGTATCGCAACGTCTTAGAGCATCACCTCACAGACTCCATCAAACTCTCACCAGAAAACCAGTCCCCGAGCAGATGCTGCTAGACCTCCGGGCTCCAAAGATCCCCCCATCAACCCCAATACCTGCCGGTGCTCCACCCAGGTGCCCCGTTCTGCGGCCAGAGCCCTCGTTCCCCTTGCACGTGTTGGGACCCGAGTCCAAGGCTACCCCCTGTCTCGGGCTGAAAGAAGTGAGGTCACCCCAGGGCCCTGGGGGCCAGATGAAGCCCAGATCGTCACAGCCACTCCCTGGCGCTGGAAGGGAACCAAGTCCCACCTGGCTCCAGCTTGCTTGCCACGCACCCTCCCACAGACTCCCACTCCCAGATGCATGTCTCTGCAGAGAAGCCGTGTGTCTCCTGTGAACAGGCCGTCCTCGCCGCTCAGCACAGCAATGCCCAGGCATGGGTGCATTTCAGCCCCCTGCCCCGTCTGGTCCTGGCACCCCCTCGTCCCACCAGGGTATAAGGCTGAGGAAAAGCCACCAGAGAACCCATCCTCTTTGCAGGGGGCTCCAGCGACTCCTGTAAATTTCTCGGAGCCTCTGTTGTGCCTCTGTCCAGTGGGGGGGTCTCGTGCCCACACCAGAGTGGGGCTGGAGGCCGGGAGCCCCTCTCCAATCTTGCTTGCTTTGTTGATATGAACATATTTATTCCTTCAACCAGCATTTTCGAGTGTCCGCTATGGACATCTCTGGGGTCCAGTGACAACTCAGGCAAGGCCCTGCTCTCCCGGCCCTGACATCTGGAGAGGCAGAGACACGGGCAGAGGCAGAGAGACACAGGCACTCCCAACTATAAGATATGTGCTTAAACAAAGAGAAACAGGTAATGGGATGGAGAGGGACAGGGACTCGGGGGAAGCTGCCTCCGTCCAAGTAGTCCAGGAGGGCTTCCCTGAGGGCTGAGAATGAGAAAGGGCTGCCACCTGAGATCTGGACGACAGCAACCTGGTGCAGGGAGCAGCGAGGGCTGAGGCCCTCAGGGGAGAACGAGCTTGCTGTGTTCCAGGAACACAGAAAGGACTTTACCTGAGAACACAAGGCTGCTGTCCCAGGTACAAGCAGAGGGGACCCGCCCCTGGACGGCTCTGGCTCCTTGCGCCTCTGACAGATGACCACTAGGGGGCAGCAGTGCTCCTCCCCTGCCAGGCTGAGCAGAACCCTGGAAGAGCCATGTTTTCCTTGTCCAGATTGATGGCCAAACCTAGTTTTGGGCTCTCAGAGCATTCAGGCTTTAAGATATGTGGGGCAGGAGGATGCCAGATTCTTTAGCCTAGTAAGAAACAAACAAAACTGCAACATCAACAATTCAGGCAAGAATTTTGCATCTGTAAGAAAAACCAGAAAGAGAGACCTTCAAGCTCATGGGTGCTCTGTCCCTGCAGAGTAGGCATAACCTGCTCCATCCCTTGGCACCACTGAAGTCTCTCAGCTACACAGCAGGAGGCTTCCCTGAGCCCTGAGTGTAAATGGGCTGTAGTAAGATTTCCGAGGGTCATCTGACTGCAGATATGCCTAGCGGTGGGGAAAGGGAGGTCAGCAAGGAAGCTTGGGGGGACCCTTCTTCCCACCCAACTGTGGAGTAAGAACTGACCCATCCTGGGCATTAAGCAGGACCTGGCAAGGGAGCACGTAGCCTGGAGCACCCCTCTGTCTCATGTCCTTCACAGGGTGACCTGTGCGTCCCAGAGCTTTTCCTGGAGTCACTCGGGCTGTGGCTCCCGCACGCGGTGTGTGGGTGTATACACAGCGGCCCACTTGTGGTGGCCGTAAGGCCCATTTCCAAATGCATGCAATAACAAATAAATGTGCTCTTTGTTTTTAATCCTTTGTGGCATTTAATTATTAAATTTGAAAAGAAAGAAGAAGCACACCTCCATAGCACACAACCCAAAAAACGCTAAAGTGAGGACAACATAAAATAAACTAGGAGCAGTGACACGACAGGTAGGCCCAGTGCAAATGGAAGTGCTGGGCCCCTTGTCCCAAAAGTGTTAAGAATTTCCAGAAGTGACAGCAGGTGGTTAAAGCAGGCACAGTGTCCATCTGACACCAGCTGCACACACCTGTGCCGCCTTCCCCGGGTAAACAAGCGTGTGTTGCAAGCCCTCCAGAATGACAGCGCCCTGGCCAGTCCAGCTGGAGATCAAAGACTCTGCCTTTGCAGGACTCACATGGAGATTCACCCCCAAACAGCATTTTGCATCTTCCCCACATTCAGGAGCCAGGACAGAATGTCCATGTGGTGGTGGAAAGTGGGAGCTGAGGGCCCACAGCATCTGTCCTACCTGTCTGGGGGACATGCCGACAAACCCCTGTGGCAAAGGAGACAGTGCCCACAAGTGCTGACTGCCCCCTCCCCCCCACAGCCTAGTCCTGAGTCTGGGGCCCACCTGGGACCCACCCCTAGGGGCAGGAATTGAGAGGGACCCAGGAGTCTGGGTCCAGTGGAGTAGAACTTTCTGTGACCCCCTTCACCCTGGTCCTTGCAGGGGCTGTCAGAGAAAAGGACCCAGGCTGACGAGGCCTCTCTGACCAGGATTGTTCCTATACCCGCCGCCTCCCTGCTCCAAGGGGCAGCTGCAGCCGCTGGTGGACCCCAGCCAGAGCTCTGAATGGCACATGCCCTTGGGGACTTGGGAAAAATCAGAACCAAATCTTATCACCAAATAAACCCGTTGGGCCCAGCTGGGCAGTGCACTGCCCAAGGGTGTTTGGGAAAATGCTGTTTTTGCTGTTTGCTCCCATTCGGCAGAGACCCCCTGACTGCCCCTTTCATCACCACAACCCAGCACTCAGCATGGAGACTGGTATAGAGTCAGGGATAAATAAACTTTGTGGACTATAACAGCATGTGACACAGCAACTTGATAAAACAGTGAAGGAATGTTCGGATGGGACTAGACATTCAGGACGCATTGCTACGTGAAAAAAAAAAAAAAACACGTGCATAACATGCTGTCTTTTCTATAAGAGGCTTAAATAAGACTATATTCATTTTCATTTGTACAGAAGAAAATTCTAGAATGATGCATACGAAATTAATAAAAGCTGTCACTCTTCAGAGGGGGTGACGGCAGGTGGGAGTCAGGAATGGAAGTAAGACATGTGCTGGTATAATTTTGCACTTTAAACTTTTAACCTTTGATTGTATCACACAGTCCGGAATTGTTTTTTAATTGTTTATTTTATCAAGTTAAGGGTATACCACACTGTATACATTTTAGGGACATAGATTCATGCCTTTTCAAATATCCTCCACCAGAACCCCAATAATCCACTACCACAGTCCGTGGGGCCTCATTTCCCCCTTCGCTGCCACTTCCCTCCTGTAATAGTCAGGGACAGTGCAGGATCTCTATGATCCGAGCAGATGGGTGAAGGAGGAGTCCTGGAGCCCTCGGTGGCTTTTGCAGGTTTCTATTGGGATTTACCAGGTACACAGCTGGCAAGGGGTGCCAGGGGGCCGGGAGGCTGGCAGGCCTCCCAGCTCCCAGCAAGTCTTTACTCTTCCTGGGCTCTCTGGTGGTCTCTACTTCTCTTTCGTTCTCATTCTCTCTGCTTCTGCTGGCGTCCCCGTGACGCCGCCCTTAAAAGCCCAGTCTCAGCCCAGATGAATCCCATCTACCTATGCCCACACCCTACTCCAGGCACCCGCCATCAGGCATGCATTCAGGACCGCAGGGATCCATCATCTATCCTGATGGCAGGAGGGCAGAAAAGCCTGATACTTTTTCACTTACCCTACACCTCCCCTCTGGTAGCCCCAATTTCTGCAGTCACATTTCTGGGCTTGTGTGGATTTAGTCTTGTCTGCTCCTTAGTTTTGTTTCTTTATATTTTTGCATATGAATGAAATCATCCGGTATCTTTTTCCCTCTTACTTATTTTTCTTAACACAATCCCCTCCAGCTCCAACCACATTGTCTCAAATATCAGGATTTCATCATTTCTCATGCCCCAGCGCATCCTTCTTCGTCTACAGATTGGCCTCCTTCCTCCGGCCTCAGGCCTGGGGCCCTCAGGAAGTTCCCTGAACGTGGTCAGCGTAAGCAGCTCTGCAGTGGACATTGGGTGCACATATTCCTTCAAATTAGTGTTTCGCATTTCGGGTAGACAGCCAGACGCGGGAACGTAGGACTGTAGGGTAGTTCTATTTTTTAAGATACTTTGAGAAACAGTCACGCCGCTTTCCACAGGACTGCTCCCGCCCCCGTCCCCACCCTGCCAGCGAGCTTCCCTCTCCCACACCCCTGACACCGCTTGTACCAGACTTCTCAACGCGGCTCTGCTTCTGTGTGAGGCAGTGGCTCCTTTGGTTTTGATTCGCTTTTCCCTGATGAAGTCTTCTGCCCATTTTTTTCGTAATCAAAAATTTAAAAGAAGAAAATGAATATAGGCAGAAGGAAGAAAAGGAGGAGCAGGCCGGGAGAGAAGCAGAGCTCAGGCTTTGAATCCAAGGCCCACATATTTGGATGGCACTGGGGGCAAAGCACAAACACCTGAAAATCCCCCAGGCCCACGTGGTCTGGCTAAGATGCCTCCCAGGTGAGCAGGAATCTCAGGGCTCCAGTGTAAGAGCGGGCATCTGCTCTGGGGGTATCCATGACCAACCGGGTGTCCAAGCTCCAAGACTCAGCTCTGGAGACAGCCTGGGTGAGCGCAAGAGTTGACCAGCTGGTCTACACTGCGAGCCCCTTTCCTAGGTTCAACCTGACCCTTACAAGACCTCCCCCCCAGCTTCCTACCTCCAAGGTAAACTGGCACAACTTTTGGGGTGCTGTACTGAGTAGAAGGCCCCACAAACAGGCTCCCTGCTCTTCCACCCCGGCATGTGCAGCCCCGCTGGCAGTGGCATAGGAAGTGGCCAAGTGTTCACTTCATAGCATTGTTAGGAGGGAGGGAAGGAGGCAAGGAGCTGGAAGCTTCATGTCCTTCAACAGGAAATTGGACATATAAAAGGTGGGCTAGTCAAACACCCGCGCTTCACAGCGGTGGATATGAGGAAGGAAAAGCCACAAGCGTAGCCATGAGGGGAGGCGCAGGGGGAGGCGGAGCAGAGCCGCAGGAGAAGACAAGCCATTCACGCAGAAGACGTGCACCATTCACGCAGGGTTCAAAACCAACCAAGACTAAATGGTTTCTCTTCACACATATTTATCACAAACACATGTGGCAAAGCAACATAAATTCAATAAAAACATACAAAGGAGGGAATCCTGCGCCCAAGATGATTTACGTGGCCCTGGATGGGGCAGGCAGGGCAGCGACCAGGGTGACATAAGGCAGCTGGACAGTGTTGGGGACACTCATTCCTCCCGTTGGGTTGTGGGGTCACAAGCAATCATTTTACTATCACACTTTGCATTACAGATGTATGTGACACAGATTCTTTTTTTATTACTCAAATATTAAAATTTTTGAATTTCAACCACAGCCTGAACGTTGGGGTCAGGCAGGGCTGATCTTGAATCCTGACTTTCTCTTCCTTGTCGCTGTGACCTTGGGTGTGTCTCCTGACCTCTGTGTGACCTTGGACGTGCCACCAGACCTCTCAGAACTCATGCCATCTTCTCTGTGTAGAGGGGATACTCTTACCTCCAAGGCTTCTAGTTATACATGCATCGTTCCTAGCTCATAGCCGATGGTCGAGAGTTGGCAGTTGATATTAGGTCAGGAACAGTTTTAAAGCTATGTGTGACGGGATGTTGGGATATCTGTTAAATGCTAAAATACAATAGTTGAGAACTGAGTGAGTGAAGGAACAAGCCAAAGAACTCACCTGACCTCTTCCTACTGTCACACCACCCCTGAATAACCTCTGGGACTCAAGTCATCTGGTCAGCATCGTGGTAACTTAAAATTTAAAAAACAATCTTCACACATACCTAGAGTTTCTGGAAGCAGGCAGCTGGCCAGCTCAGCCCCAGAGGGGAGGGTCTCCACCCTCAACCCAGAACAAGAGCCTGTGGGAGGACTCATGTGTCCCCGGGTCCCCACAGGCATGGGTCTGAGCAGGGACAGCTGCTCCTGGAGAGAGCTGCTGGTGGCAGGAGCGCCCCAGACCCCTGCACCTGTGAAGCCTGCCCCCTGAGCCCGAAGGCGTTTCCTTGACCTTGACAAATGTCTCAGCGGCATTTGTCTCACATAAGGACAGCCCCGGATTAGAGGAAACGAAGTGGATTTCCAAACCCTGCAAGCAGGAGAAATCGATATTTTTAGACTTGCTGAGCCTCTCTGCCAGTTTCTGATTTTCCTTTTTCTATTTCAGGCTAGATTTGGGAGAGGGAATTAGCTGTCAATCAAGGACAGCATCGCTTATTTGAAGTCATAGAATCTTATTCGAGCCTGTGTGATCTCGAGCCAGTATCAAATATGACCTTAGTTTTCTCCTTTAGAAAATGGGGGTAACAATTACTCTTGCTTATTTCACATGGGTGCTAGAAACATAAAGTAAAATCCTGACATATTAGTGACTCAGAAACCACACCGTTCTACAAAATGCAGCGAAAGAATGCCAGATCTGGAGCCAGGGTGCCTGAACTGGTAGTTTGCTTCTAAAGTTACCAAACACGTATCATACACCGCTGTGAGTGCTTTGTGAATGTAAACCCATTTAGTTCTCTCAACGATCCTACGAAAACTGTATTAGCCAGGTGGGGAAAAGTTAGAAGTTAAGTCATTTGCCCAAGTTGCACATCGGTGTGAGGTCCAAGCCCAGGCCATCAAGGTCCAGAAAGGGGCTCTTAGCAGCTACTCTGCCTTCTGCTTGAGAGATTTGAAGCTGCCTCTACCACGCTACCCTTCCT